GGTACGCGGGCCTCTCACCGCTGTGGCCTCTCCCGTTGCGGAGCACAGGCTCCGGACGCTCAGGCTCAGCGGCCATGGCCCAGGGGCCCAACCGCTCCGCGGCATGTGGGATCTTCCCGGCCCGGGGCACGAACCCGTGTCCCCTGCATCGGCAGGCGGACTCTCAACCACCGCGCCACCAGGGAAGCCCCTTGGCACACTTTTAAAGTCACACTGTGGACTATGTGTGGACATAAAGCATTTAATAGTGTCTCCTCACTACTCTGTCAACTTCTCCCTGTAAACGTTCTTATTCTTTTCTAAAAGCACTTTCACGTGTCTCACCAGCAAACACAATCCAACTCCACTCCTTGTCATTACATATTCTTTTTTAATCCTATATCTGCTTTTTCTTTGATCCAATTTCTGGAGGGTCCCCAGGGACTCGACCGGACTACTCCAGAGCAAGCAAAGCATAGTCTGATGCTAAAAAGGAAGCAAATCTGTGGGACTGTCCCTGGAACATTCAAATCTCAAGTTGCGGAATCCAGAGCTGACCTCTGACACACAGTGCCTCAAAGGACAATTCACCAAAAGCCAAAACCAGAGCCGCGAGGCAGCCTCAGAGCATGCTTAGGTGGGTTACAAATGGCACTGGAAAACAGTGAGGAAGAAAAAAAAACTCTTTACACAAAGCACTCGGCATCATTTCCACTAGAGAGATTTAACTGAAAAGGATGATTTCAACACTGGCTGCCCTAACAAATTAGTCTCCAACTGCGACTTCTGCCAAATGCATTTCTCCTCCCCCTAATGCAGAAATGTTTTTAAATTAAAACACGAGGGGAAAGTGCAGAAGAGAGAGTCATTTACAGCACTTGGGCCACTTGAAACAACTTTTCGCCAAGGTCTATAATCAAATTATCAAGCTCTTGAAGTCAGTGCTTTATGACGGAAATAAAAGCCCCACTAAAGTATTCCAGGTCCCTTGGCATTTCCACATCTCTGGGCAGGGCGGCACTGCAGCATTCCCATTCACACTAGCTGATGAAAGAGAACAGATCACAAAGGGCAGATTACAAGGGAGAATGACTCCAACTCCGGTGGGGGAAGGGACAGGCGTGAATGGATTGTAAATAATGTTGCTAAGAAAGGACCACAAATATGGCAACCTCAGATAATCCTCTTGCCAGGAATTCTTCCCATGGGGACTGTTCTTTCTGAACTCTGCTTTCAAGTATGTGAGAAATATGAAAACCTTACTGAATATCTGGAGGTAGCCCTCCCCTCCTGTCTCAACTTGTAGGTCTGTGCAAACGTTAGAAAAAAATGGCTTTTAAAAATTCCAAATACTTTATTAAAGGAGATGGAATGACAGAGAAAAAGAGGGGATACTGGATGGTATAACAACTGATCACCTCCGTTGGGAGAATATCATTTCTTCATAATCACTGTCATAAGGCATCTTGTTTAAGGAACATTGAATGGTCTGAATAACAGTTCATTTCCTTAAGGGGGCCCTTCCTATCCTGTTCAAGGTGCAGACTTTGAACTGAGAGTTAACATCATGATTTCAGACAGACACACACAGATGTTTTTAGCAAATACAACTTTGGGGAAAAGGCTGTTACCACCTTGAGCAAAACACAGCCACCAAACTACGCCACCTCTGTGATGTTGCCGTCACCATTTCTGGCTACAGGATATCATGCAATGAACGACATGCTGGCTGACACTTCCACTTTGCTAACAGTCACAAGCAGCTCTCTCCGCTGTCCTCAGGACACACACTGTTACCCAAATGATACTGGCAGAGTACAGCAAGCACTCACCCTGTCTGAAACAAACAGGATCTCAGGTCTGAGCGATGCACAGCATCTCCCCCGAATTCGCTCCCATTGACTTGAAATGTTGGCACGCCTCAGGTATCAACATGTGAGAAGAAACCAAAAGCCAAAACCAAAACTCCATCAGTCTCCATTTACTTTTGCTTTAATCCTTTATCTGCTGGGGGAAAAAGCATCCCATACGTTTAGCCTTCCAATTTGTGAACACCTTGCACAGGTCAAGCATCGACACCCTCAGTCCTTATGCAAGCACCTCTCTAGTCACGTTTTGGGTCTGGTTCCCAGTTTTTCTCTAATGAAAGATACAAGGCTATCATCAAAATGCAAAAAGTATTAAGAAAAACAAGCTATGCCTTTACCACTCCAATCCAGTTTTCACACACACACAAAGGGCAGGGGAGAGAGAGAAAATTAAAAGAAACCTGGCAGAACTCAAACTAAAGGAGTTCTCTGTTATTGTTCTGTTCGTTTGTTTTTTAAAACGAAAACTTCTGTGCAGGAATCCCCTCAGGGAGCACTGTCCTCTGAGGCCAAAAGGAGCAGCAAGTCCAAGGTGCAACGGAATGACAGCACCATCTGCTTCAGAGTGCTGCGCTAGTCTGTAAGCCACATCCTTACTGCTGTTTCCCAATAGTTTTGTGGCCTTTATATTTCACTTTATTGGGGGGAAGGTGGGGAAGGGGTGAAAAGACCGTGAACCTGGGAATAACAAAAACCCCAAACTCACAACACAGCCCTTAAAGCCTCCTCATTAAGCGCTCTGTTAATAAGGAATGGGTGATTCATGACGTAACAATGCCAACGAGGAGTCTGCAGCACGTGTTTATTTTTTCTGAAGACAGAAAACAGCATTCGCCCCACCTACAGGATGGGGCTGTCAACTAATCAACACCAAAAGCGATATGCAAAAATGAAACCAGAAACAGCAACACCTAAAACTTATTTCTTTTCTAAGAAATAAGAGTTCTTAGAAAAATCAGTTTTAGGGCATTAAACAGCAATTTGAATAAAGGTTTGAAAATCTGTTTGTATTTAAAGTTCTGCAAACCAGTAGCTAAATTTCAGCCTCAATGAGAACCATCCGGTCAAGCACATTACTGCAGGAGGCATGAAAGGTGAATCCAGTGAAAACTAAAGATCTCAACTGTCACCTCACTTCCTGCTTGCAGAGGAGCCATGAGAGAGTTAAGGTAACTTTGAGAACAGCCGCCCAACCCACCCAGGAAGAATCTGCTTGGCTTGTACTGGCTACCTTAATAACACAACCGAAAAAAAATAGTCTTTTCTGGCCGTCAGTCAGTAATTAAATTTTTATACACTCAATTTAAGTTACTGAATGACTTCCCGGGTTACTGTTTGTATTCTGAAGTTGTTCCTCCTCCTGACACAGTGTTCTGCTTGAAACTTTGCTGTGGATTTGAAGTATCTGACAAGACAGCTTTCAAACACGTTCTACAGGAAACACGGTGAACTGCCTGTCATGAAACCTCACTCACCACAAGTGAGATAAAAAACAAACAGTTAAAGCGTGTTACAACGTTCGTCCATTTTTAGAGAGCGATGTAACCACTGCTCTCCCTGTTTTGAGATATGGGCACCGTTTGGTGCAAACCTCAGCATTTTGTTGGAGTTAACAGCAAACTCAACTCCTGCCTGCGTTTGACCTTTGGCCAGATCACTCAAATGACATTTCAGCATGGCTCCTGTGGACGGCCGGCAGCAGCTAATCCCTCTAGCTGCGATTACCCTCCTGCTCCACGGGTCTGCAGAGCGCACTCTCTCCACCACTTCAGCCACTAAGTGCTCCGGGCCTGCTGGCGGGGCAGGACGGCCACCAGAGGAAGGGGGCCTGCGCCAGCTCGCCACGCTCGGCTCTGCGTGGGTCTCTGTCCTGTTCCCAAAGACCTAGCCCACCTTCCGCAAGCTCGTCCAGAACTGGGCCCCGGGCCAAGTCCAGCCTCGGAAAACTGCCTCGGAAAACTTACCCGGTGGAGCTTTCAGCCCCCGTACGGAGGAAGGGCTGTTCTGAAGAGGCTTCTTGTTACCTTCCATTCACATAATTTGGCTGTGCTTCATTGCACACTTGCTACTGCAGGCTTGCATCATGATTTGAGTCTGCCCACCAACTCCAAATATGCTCCATGTTTGGTCTTATGTAACATTTGCTACTACTGTAAAAAGCACTTGAATTACAAAGGTCCTGGCAGATCAACAGAAAACAAGGGGTGGAGTCTAATTTCATCTAATATGGTCATACAAGGCGTCCTGGCTGGTGTAAATGAATCCTTCTCTTTGAAAGGCAGCTGGCCAAAACTGAGGGAGATGGAATTTATAAATTTAACCTGCTAGAATTAGAATGTAAATTACTCACACCTGATTTTCCTGAGGGAGTAAAAAGACAACTATTACCAGGTATATTAGAAAATGTACTTGATTCGTTATATATCTACACTTTGAGGCTGGACAAACCTTCAAGTTTTAATGTTATACATTTTTACAAATATCAGCAGTCTTTCTCCACATTCTATTTCCCCACTATCTATACTTTAAAACAACAGAAGTCTGTTATACCTAAGCACAGTTTTCCTTAAATCTAGTAAGAAAAATCTTAACCCATTTTCTGTGCATTTGTAAAATAGTCTAATTTCAGAAAAAATATACACCTTATTGTCCAGAGTTCAACCACTGGATGACTGACTAAAGCTGGGGAACTTTTAGACTTTTAATCCCTAAACTTCTCTAAGTGGCTCTTTGTAAACCAGGCCTTCCTGGTTTAGCTGTTTGTCTGTCTTCAGCCCTATTACACTCCCTGCGTCACTACTCCCCAATCTTGTCAATCGCCAAATCTTACTATCAAATAGACGTGGAAAAAAGCAGCCAACTGATCTGAATTTTATGATAATAAAGGCTGCACACATAAATAGACTCAGATGCCTGATAGTTCAGAATGAACACTTTTAAATGTCAAAAGGAGGGGGTAAATTCCTCTACAAAATACCATCACCCAACACAGACTATTTGGCACGGAGTCATGAATTACATGTGTGGAAAAGATTTGGCCTGGAAGGGGTGGTAAAGAGTTGTGAGGCACAGGAAATGGCTTCTATTAGACCAGACACAAATTCTACATTTACTGTAAAACAAAAGAGTAGTAGCCACACTGCTTTATTTTCACAGCAAGCATTCAGACCCTAACCACAGCAGCAATATTAAGATCTAGAGGGCTTTCTGAAACCCTCCCCCGACCCCCCCCCCCACCAAATTTCCGGTTCAAACAATGCAAAACTATGGTGGTTCCTAAAAGACAGAAGAACACAAGGAAAGAGCCATCAGCGGGACTAGAAGCACAGGATGAGCAAATCTTTCCAAAGTTAATTAGCAAAAATAAGACATTTAGGTTAACTCACTGACGGGTTTCTTAAGCTAGCAGGAGAAAAAAAAATTCTATTGCCATACTACCTGATTGCAGAAAGTTTTTTAGCATCATTCCCTGCACCCACCTGCCCTCGCCCTCGCCAAGGGAGAGCTGAGGAGTCTCCCTGACATCATCAATGGCAGAACTGAACTGGGATAAGAGGACCTGACTCAGACTAAGCCTCAGCTCCACATCACTGCACCCCTCAGCCTGGACACCAGACTCCCTGCCAGTCTCCCAGCACAAACGCTTGCCTTTCTAGTGTTCCCTTTTGTAGATGGTGATGGTGCTAGTGGGGAAAACAATCCTTACGAGAACCAGCCAACCCAAGACAATTCTGGGAACGACGTCTTTCTGTAACCTGGAGGAACTTCAGGATGAACTTCAGCAAATCTTCTTAAATGCTACAAACATACGTCTACACTTAATTTTGTATATAAACAAGAAAGAAACAATCCGAATTTATTTTTAAGATCTACATCAAAGAAGGGATGAATGATAGTGCAAACCAGAAAAATTAAAATCTGTACAATAAGAATCAAAACAAATACACAACAACTGGGCATATAAAGCTCAGACTGAACTTTTAAACACATACCTCTCTTAATACCCTGGGTAAAATACTTAACCAAATACCACCCTGTTCTGCTTGGAAAGCATTATTACTATTTTCTTCAAACCATTTCTCAATATCCTATCCAAATAACGTTTATATTGATACTAAATCTCCCAATGATGGCTCATATTTCAGTGCCTAGGTCTGGGGACATGGTCACATTTCTTTTTTCTTATGAAAAAATAAACAGACTACAGACTAAAAAAAGACTACAGACTAAAATACCATTTTAATAGAATAACATCCATGCCTTACAGACCAAAAATTATAGGTATTGGCTGTGGTGTGGATGGTGTGCACTCATCAATTTTACTCTGGTTGCACAAAGGGAGTCCTGAACTGACACTAATTCTTCTGTGAATTAGCCCGCTCCCAGCAAACAAGCAAACGGGCAGCAGCTAGGAGGGGCCGCGAGGGCTTGGGTTTGGCCGCCGCAGCCTCAGCACTTTCAGTTGTGTAGCCTTGGGCAAGAGACTTCTGTCCCTCAGGGTCTGTGCCCTACCCTGAGAAGCAGTAATACTGCCTCCTCTAACAGGGCCTCGGTGAGGAGTAAAGGAGGTGACACATGTAATGCAGTGCCCAGCACATCTTAAATGCTCGATAAATGTCAGCTATTACGATTAGAAAGGAGGAGAGAAACTGGATGGTGGACATCATTCAAAATCAAGGAAGACCAAAAGAAAGACAGCGGTTTCTGTTACAGAAACTAGTGAGGTCCCCAACAAATCTTGGGATTTCCCAAATCCACTCCTGAGAAGCCAGCAGAGGTGTCATTTGGTGTTCTGCAGGACAACAAACGAGCTGTTGGCAGTTGGGAAATCCTGTGTTCCTGTCACCAGTGGCAGCCAGTTCTCCAGCTTACAGCAGCACAAGCCTCCACTCACTCCACTTCACTGTCTCAGCAGGCCGGGCCGAGTTATAATTGGCCTTAATTGGCACTTACAGGAGCTTTAACATTCCTCACCTGCTGCCAAGGAGCACTTGAAAGGGGGAGAAAGTATTTTCAAACTTGGAAATACCAAGCAATTCATTCAGCTGTGGGCCGGGAAGCCTGCTATCCAGAATCAGATTAGCTTCACCCAGAAATGCTGCTATGTTATCATCCAGTGCTCATTAGGTGCTCACACAGGATTAGGAGAGGTGGGAGATGAAGTTTAGAAGGGGATAATTCACCTTGGGGGCTAACAGCACGCAGCAGCCTCCCTCTGGCTGGCATCGTCTGATCTGTTTGGTGGACACTTCTTCAGGGCTCAGCCACACTTCGCGTGTGTGTCCCTTTTCAGCTGTTCAGATTGTTCAAAGGCAGGCAAATCAAGTATAACCTCACAGCCTCATTTACATAGGCTTTGTGTGAACCACAGTCTGACCTCAGCCCAGTCATTATTTGATACACAAAGTGAACACTGTTAAAAGGTGACCAATCACACCAAATTCAAGGAGGATAATGAGATCAGAAATAAAACTGGCAATAGTTTTTCACTGGCCCCGCAACTGATCTCAACAGACATTACTGTCTTCTAGAAGACTACACATTTTGCAGAGAGGAATCTCAGCCTAACAGAACTAGATTTCTTCCCTAAGATAAATTCCATACAGAATGAATAGAAATCTCCCACAAGTGCCAGGAAAACTGCCTATAATTGTTTAAATGAATATTTTAAAAATCATCACTCGTTTTGAAAGATCTCTTTGCCTAGTATCATTACTCAAACTATCACTGAAACTCAGAAGACACATGCTACACTGGTAGTAAACAAAAGTTTGCACTTGTTTGTGAAACTGACTTCAAAGTCATATTACAATTAATCACACTTGTGCATATGCGTGTAAAACACAGTAACAGGCTTTAGAAAAAAAAGAAATGGAAGTTTAGAAAAATAAATAAAACACCTACTCAAATAAAACTCCACGTACTGTCATACGTGGCTAGTAGAGAGCCTTTTTGGAAAACAACCTAGTAGCAGCTATTAACAATGCAAATCAATACCCTTTTTGATCCCAGAATCCTTTCCTGAGACTCTATCCCATAGAAACAAAACCACCAGCAGTTAAGGACTTATGTAGCAGGGTGGCTACTGCTGCTTTTTTCATAGAGGCAAAAAGCAGGAGACAAAGTGAATGTCCACAGACAGAGGGTCTGGCTGAGGAAGCTACCACACAGCAGCACCTTAAAAAGGGGATTAGTGTTATCTTGGGATGTGAGTGGATCTCCATGTTGTATTGCTGAGTGGAAAAGCAGCAGAAGTATGCATAACAGGATCCCTTTCTTTATTTGCGGGGGGGGGGGGGGAAAAC